GCTTAATGTGTGTAAGATACACTTCACCATCCTTGCCTCAAATAAGAACCCTGGTTACACTTTCTCCAAGATATTTGTTTGCTCTTTTGGCAGTCCATGGGATATTCAGGATTCTTCTCCAACACCCCCACTCAAAGGCATCGATTCATCTCCTGTCATCCTTACTCATTATCCAGCTTTCAGAAGCATAACAAGTAGCTGAAAAGACCATTGCTTGAATAAAATGCTTGCTTCTGGGCATTTTTGAGAGGTCCTTGTGAAATGCAACACGTCTTTTGATTTCTTGACTTCTGGCACCAAGGGTGTTGATTGATTGTGGACTTGGGGTGGGGGGGATAGTATAACAATAGAAGATTTTTTTCTTTTCAAAGAGAAAAACGAACTGGGGGGCAGGATGGGCAGGGAGGAAAGGGTGCAACAATGAATGAATGGGGGGGGTAAGTAAATGGAAAGAATATGCTGTAAAAAATATATGTTGTGGGAGGAAATGAGTCTATTATCTAAGTTGCCTTTCTTCCTTACTGCAGTGTACATGACCTTGGCTATGGATGCAGGCACTAACATCTTCATCACTTCGGCAGACCTGAGTTCAGTCAGCTGTGAGCGTTTCCCTGCACAAGCTAACAGGCAACTTGGAGAGGTTCAGCTGCCCTGTGCGTGTCCTGGACCTCACTCCCTTTGCCTCCGGCCACCATACAAGGAAGTCGATATGGGATCAAGGCCAGAACTGGCTTTGAGCATTTGCAGAGGATCTGCTCATGAGCAAGGAGTCAGCCTTCTGCTGGATTCTGAACCTGAGAAACGGCAGATACTTGAGTGCCCGCATAACGCACGCAGTGAGGAAAACAGACTTCCATATAATCGGGAGCATGGGTCCCTTTGTCAGTTTCCTCGTTAGCCGTCACTAGTGACACATGTCCTAGCACGTTTTAAATAGATGATATAATCAGCTGCTGGCAGTTAACGGTGTTAATTGTCACTGAAAATACTGTTAACTGCAATAAGTTAGCTGATGCATTGGGACTCCAAGCACCGCAGAGTGAATCGCCACCCAGTCTATGCCAACCTGAGGACCACATGCCAACCTGAGGACCACATGCCAATCTCAGGACCACATGCCAACCTCAGGACCACATGCCAACGTCAGGTCCACATGCCAACCTCAGGACCACATGCCAACCTCAGGTGCACTAGCAAGGCTGCGTCCCTTTTTGCCTTCCAACCTACAGACCTTGTCATCTCCCAACTCGCCATCAGATAATGTTCTGTCGTGACCCCCAAGGTTTTCCCCGGCCAGTGTTCAGAAGTATGCTCCTCGGCTGTTCCTCCTCGTCTGTGCCCCTCTGAGAGCCTCTGTGGATGCTGTCCTCCACGGGGGACTTTTGGCATTTTAAATGCTGGTGGTCAAGCTTCCAGCATCCTAGAAACACTCAGGCCACTGCAGTATGGCACGCTGAAGGTGTGGGGTTGGGGGGGAAGGTGTGGTCGACACCTTAAATTGTGATTTTTGTTCGTCACATCCAGAGCTAGTCTTTCAAGAATTTTCCTTGCGTTTCCTACACATGAACATTCTTTTAGGTGCTGTTGTGAACGCTGAGAAGCTTCTAGAGTGGAGGCTGGGCCTCCATATCGGGGAGCGTGCTTCCTGGGATGAGCCTTCTAACTCGCTGTCACTGGCGGGACATGGTAATACAAGCACCTAATACACGCAGCCAGCAGCTAACCTCCGAAGGTGAGTCCCCCAGGGGCAGGCATTTCAGAACAGACCGGCCATCTGACTTGAACAATTAGCCTCTGGAATCCCTCCGAGAAGCTCAGTCGTATCCTGACAGACATAAGGCGCTCTTAAGACACAGTCAAGTTATCAGGAGCTGTTAATGCTTTTTCTCTATTGTTCTTTCTCTCTCTGTTCACGTGTGGTTTGGGGAGCAGGTGACCGTCATTCACAGATGCCCTGGGAGACTGTGTGTTAGAGCCACCCCCCCCCCATCTTCAGGCCTGCAGCCCTCGGCAATGCCTCCAGGGAGATCATTCACACCTGAGGTGGAGACATCAAGACCAAGCAGCTCCACTTGGCCGGCTTCCTCGAGCCAAGAGCCCTTCCAATCAGTGTGAAGAAGCAAATTCACGGCAATCAAGGGCGACCAGGGCTATTTAATCCCTTGTTTCGAGCTGGATTCTTTGAAGGGGACAAGGAAGGAAGTCAAGAGGCCAGGCTGGGTGAGTACGTCTTCTCGGGATTCTTCCTTCCTCAGTTTCCCCCCTCAGGGCTCACACGGGCTCTAGAATTCACAGAGAGCCAGGAACAGGGGCAGGGGACCACACATGAGCAGGGCTGGTCTGTGTTATAATGAGTTTTTAACTTCACAGAGAGACCATACACCTAGCCCTTCTGATTTCGAGCCCTTCTGGATTAGGTGAGGACATAGAAATCTCATGGGTTGCTTTGCGCCCCTTCTCATTTTCCCGCAGAACTCCACGGTGGTCCATGGCTTACGCTTTCAGTCGGAAGTTGGGATGTAAGCATTTGAATCTCTCCAGACTCCGTCCTCTCCAATAAGACCTTTACCCCCATAAAGACTCACTGCATAGGAATCCCTTTGGAGCAGTTCTGTTGCGTCCTGTACGGGTTGCCTTGGACAGGTTTTTTTTCCCCCAGAGGGCTTTGTGTGCAGGGGATTAAACCCTCATATTTCAGCAGGAAGCTTGGCAGTTTGAGCCTCCCTAGTGGTGCCTCGACGGCAGGCCTGGGGATGCGTTTCCTCCAGATCCAGCTTGGAGACGCTTGGAGCTCGATGCTACTGACACCGGAGGCTGCTGTGGTTCAATCGACTCATTGTCAACTAACGAGAGCCACACATTTTCTTCTAAAGGTCGATGTTCGAGAGTCGGAGTTAGCCTGAGGTCTCAGGGAGCAAATAACCATTAGAGTGGGAGCCATTTCTCATAGCTGGAGCACCTGTTAGGCGCGTGGCACCTGGAGAGATAAATGAAAACATTAATTGGGGAAAGAGAACCCAAGTAGGGGAAGGAACACGATGGAGAGGATTGAGTTTGAGACTTGGGGCTGTGGTCGTTTGTTCTGCTGGCTTTTGATGGTTCGAATTCTCTCACTAAGAAAACTCACTGTCTCGGAGTTGGGTTTGAAGAGGCAGGAAATGCCAGCAGGGGACTTGCCCAGCTCTCTTCCCCAGGAGTCGCTAGTGGATTTGAACCAATTGCCTTTTGGTTGGCAGCACAACTCCTTGCCCACTAGGCCACCAGAGCTCCCCATTCTAGGGAGGCAGATTCTTCTATGTAAATAACTTAGTGCTAAAATGAGTGTTCAAGTGAGCCGAAAGGCTCCAGGAGCCGTGGAGTTGATGATGGCTCTTGAGAACCCCCTCACTGTAGACCTGCCCTCTGTGGCGTTTCCCAGGTGCCTCTGATATTTCAACTTCCAACCTTTCTTCCAGCATTTCCTAGTTCAGAGTTACCTACGGGCTCCACAGGAGGCACTCAGCCAGGTTAGCCAAGAAAATTCACGGCGCTGTCGTGCATTTGTCACCAGCGTCACTGTGAATCAGGGCTGAGACAGCATCTTGTGACAATCTCAAAGGAGATGGTTTTGTGAGGCTGTGAGAACTGGTGAGGAGAAAGGGCCATGACCTATTAAAGGCTATCTTTATTCCTACTCCAGGAGCTGCAAAGGCTTAATGAAAAGGTGGTCTCCTGGGTGATCCGGGGCTTCTTGTGAACCCTGGAAAAGCAAGGGTGGCTTTAATCACAGGGGGTGAGGCCACCGATATCCTGCAAAGGCGTGTAAAAGACTCTGTTCTGACAGCAAGCCCAAAGCGTTGCACTGAGTCAGCTTTGACCAAGGACCACCCCGTACATGTCGGAAGGGTGCACGTCACAGGGTTGTCAACGGCTGTGATATTTGAGGAGTCCTACGAGAGTTAACATGTCAGGCTGCCAACCAAAGGGTCAGCAGTTCTACTCCACCTTCCACTGTGGGAGAAATCTGGGCAGTCTCCTCCTGCAAAGGTCCACAGCCCCTAACGCTCAGTGCAGGGTCACTGTCAAGAGCCATGAACTCAACAGCAGTCACTTAGACTTTGGTGTAAGAATTTTCAAAATCAAGTTTTTGGTGGTTTTTTGTTTGTTTTTGTTAAAACCACCATTTCTAAATTCTTGGCCTCCAGGGACTCTAAAAATATTTGGGCATGTTGCAAGGAGGGACCAGTCCTTAGAGAGGGACATCATGCTTGGGAGGGTGGAGGGACAGCACAGGAGAGGAAGACCCTCAATGAGGTGGATTGATTCAGTGACTTGGGTAATGGGGGTAGATGTGTCAGAGACAGTGAGATTGGCACAGGACAGAGCAGGGTTTAGAGCTGTTGTACACAGGGTCGCTATGAGTCACAGGCGACTTGACAGCTGTGGTTCTACAATTAATCTCCACGTGTAACAAGCACATGGCTTCTAAGAGCAGCGCTGGAGGCTCAAGTCCACCAAGAAACACCTCAGAAGAGAGGCCTGACCTGGGCTCCCCAGGGTTTGTGGAGGCTGATGTTTTAGCAGCAGGTTACCAGCAAGTTCTGGAAAGAGCTGCCTGAGTGAGTTTAAACTGCCAACTTCCTGCCTAGTAGTCAAACATTTGATCCTTTGAATCCCTCGACTCCATGAAAATCATTGCTGCTGTGTTGATTCTGACCAACTCACATGAACTGCCCGGTATAGTTTCCTAGTCTGGAATCTTTATTGAAGTAGATGGTTAACCTTTCTTCCAAAGGATAGACAAGGTTGAACAAGCAAGCTTTAGAATAGCAGCAAAGCATAACTAGTCACTGGTTATTGTTGAATAACTGTCATGGTTCCTTGGTCAATAACTATCTTCTCTAAATTTTTTGCAGGATTTTTTTTCTCTCTGAAAGCACGCCATTATTCCTAGGTGACGCTTAGCCCTTAACTTCTGAAGATTTTTCTTGTGGCTATTTCAAAACAGCCTTGGAAAAAAGATGGCTGACTTGTTGTCCAACTATGGTTTGTTGCCGTACCTGGAAGAACTCCAAATGGAAGAGTTCTCGACATTTAAGGAGCTTCTGAAACAGGAGATTGTGAAACGCCAACGCAGGTCAGTCCACGGGCCCGAGTTAACAAAAGGCACAAGACACGACGTCGTGACCTTGTTGGAAAAACACTACACAGAGAAACAGGCGTGGGAGATGATGCTGATGGTTCTTCTACAAATTGACAAGAGAAACATCTGGGAGAAGGCGAAAGTGGAGCTACGACGTGAGTGTGGGAAGCGGGGTGGGAAACCAGGTGGAAAAACGGGACTTGGGGGAGCTTCTGATCATGACCATGGCATGATTGTCGAATGAGTAACCACGCCTAAGCGAACTTGGTATGTGTCATGGGCCTGTGTGAGCCTTAAATGCAGTAGGAAAAAAAATAAATAAACCATCTCTGGTCCTACATGGACTAGCAAAAGACGTGGGATTGATGTAAACCGCTCGGTTCCAGGCCAAATCATGGGGCTTCCAGGAGGCGGCCTGAAAGTGAGCGAGTGTGGACATCACAAAAGGTCTTTTGCGATGAGGTTCTGCCGTGGTCCTTGCCCATTCTTTTAAGCAGACATACACAAGAAACTAGAAAGAATCTGAATTCTTCTTGCTAGAGGCTAGCACTTGTTATGCGTCAGAGAGCTGGACAATGAGACAATGACTAGGGAGGACAGAAGGAGAATTGATGTCTCTGAGCAGTGGTTCTGGAGAAGAGTATTCAATGTACCATGGACTGCTAAGAAAACAAACAGGTTCATCTTGGAGAGTTTAAACCGGGCTGCTTCTTGGAGGCAAGGATTCTGAGGTTTCGTCTAACATACTTAGGACATGTTGCAAGGAGGGATCAGTCCTTGGAGAGGGACACCATGCTTGGGATGGTGGAGGGACAGCGCAGGAGGGGAAGACTCTCTATGAGGTGGCTTGATTCAGTGACAGGGGTAATCGGGCTGAGGGTGTCAGAGACAGGTTGGCACAGGACAGAACAGAGTTGAGGGCTGTTGTACATAGGGTTGCTATGGGTCGCAGGTGACTCGATGGCACATAACAACAACAGAGGCTGCCAACCAGTATTGCAAGGCAATCACCCTGTCCAACTTCAAACTGGCCTGGAGACTTTTCTAGGCTGCAGTCTGCACCAGATCAGACCAGGTCTTGTATCTGGGTGGAGTTAAACCACCAACACTTCTCTTAGCACGCAGGCATTGAACTACAGCCCATATGCACGTTTGTTCACTGCTGGGGCAGATCTTGTCTACCCCTGTGATTTGTTCCATGTGCTGCCCAGAACATGGACCATAACTAGCAAAGGCTAAAAGAAGGAGAACTCAAGAGTGTTTCTGAAGCTCACATGAAAGCATGGGGTAACCTCACTGAAATGCACAAGACCCTATACTCCCAAGCCAGACAGATAGGGGATTGACACATGACCCTAATTTTTACTCGCTCGTCAAATTCAAATACATTGTATTGTCACAGTGTTAGCTGTGAAGTGGAAATGGAAAGAATCTTAAGGAGTAGTTAGGAAGATGGAAGATAGTACGAGTAACACCCCCTTTTAGCGGTAACTCTTAATCTTCCCTCAATAAAGAACTGCCGTGTGATGAGTTGGCGGTCAAATGCCCCCTTCTTGTGAAGACTTGGGTTTGATTCCCGGCCAGTGCATCCCAAACCTAGCCACTGGCTCTCAGTGAAGGCTTGCATGTTGGCTGAGTGGTTTTCAGCAGAGATTCGAGACTAAGATCGGAAAAGAGGCCTGGCATGTATCGTGCTGGCTCATACCCTTGGACAAACGTGCAAGAGTCAGCCAGTGACAGCCCTGTGTCGCAAGCATCTAACCCTGTTGCACGTAGGGATGGTATGAGCTGTTAGCCAGGACTGACTTTGAGGCCAGTGCCATCACCCGATGGGCTCTCTATGTGAGAAAGACCACCACACACCATTGCAGTTGGAAACGCCATTCCCAAGTATTTCTACTTGGTGTAGCCTTGAACTTTGCTAGGTTGCCAATTTTGGGTCATAGGCTCCTTGCTTCTAAGTTCATTACATCAGATTACTGAGCAAGGAAGATTCCCAGGGCAACACAAATATTTAACACTGCTCCGCTGACCCAAAGGTTGTTATCAAAGACACTGAGCACATCCACCCAGAGGGACCTGGAAAGAAAGGCTTTCTGATAAGAGCGTCCTCAGGGAAGCCTACGGTTCACGGGTTGCTTCTGCTTGGCCCCATAGTGTCCCCAGGCATCATAATGACTTCAGCAGGCTTTGAGGGACTATTTTCCTAATGAAACTAATTAGCCTGATTGTCCACAGTCATATAGTCTTTGTATTTATGTTATCACAAACTGCTGAGGTCAATTTAGAGAAGCATTCCAAAGGCCTGCATGGTGTCTAAATGTCTGCTCTTCTGTCCTCACTGACTCAGGTAAACTGAACCCCTACAGATTGCACATGAAGGAGAAGTTCCACCTTCTGTGGAGAAACGAAACCTGTCTGCCAATCCCTGACTGTTTCTATGAAGAAACCATAAAGACGGAGTATGAAGAACTGAGAGATGCTTACGCTTCCGAGGAGATGGGCACGGGGCCACGCACTGTGGTCCTGAGAGGCCCCGAGGGAATGGGGAAAACCACCCTTCTGAGAAAAGTCATGTTGGAATGGACTGAGGGCAACTTGTGGAGAGACGTATTCACCTTTGTCTTCTTCCTGGATGGCCGGGAGATGAACCATGCTGGAGAGATGAGCTTCCTGGAGTTCATCTCCAAGGACTGGCCTGAATCTTCGCAGCAACTCGAGTCTGTCTTCTGCCAGTCGCAGGACATTCTGTTTATTATAGATGACTTGGAGGCGTGTAAGTTTGAGTTGAGACTCGATAATGAGACGTGCGATGACTGGCACCAGAAGAAGCACATAGATGTTCTCTTGGGTAGTTTGTTACAGAAAAAGATCCTCCCAGACTCCTCTCTGCTGCTTGCCCTAGGACCTGGACAGTTTACCAAAAATTATTTCTTGTTGCAACAACCAAAATGCATAGTTGTCCGGGGATTCTCTGAGCACCAAAGGAAGAGCTACTTCTCCCACTTTTTCCACGAGCATGATAAAGCCAAGTTAGCCGTGAGCTTCTTGGAAGAGCAGCAATGCCTGTCGCCTTTGTGCCAAAGCCCCCTTCTGTGCTGGTTGCTCTGTCTGTGTGTAAAATGGCAGCTGGACAGGGGAGAAGATCTCGAGATGACTTACCAGACTACAACGTCTTTGTTCGTATCCTTTTTTATAAACACAGTGAAAACAGGAGTTGAGAATCTTCCAGTTAAGGCGAACATGGACCAAGTAATAGCCTTGTGCAGTTTGGCTACAAGAGGAATCTGGACTCAGACCTATCTCTTCAGGCAGGAGGAGTTCAGACAGCTAGGGATATCGCAGTCTTCCGTGTCGACATGGATAGGCATAAATCTTCTTCAAAGACATGGGAGCTATATCGCCTTCATCCATAAGCAAGTCCAAGAGTTCTACGCTACTCTCTTCTATTACCTAGAACTACCTAAAGACTTTCCTAGCAAATCCTTCGACAACCTCCTGAAATTCACCATTACCAATCTCTGCAATCCTGAGAGCACTTTGCCCCAGATGAGGCTCTTCCTGGTGGGACTGATGACAGAAAAAATAAACAGGCTTCTAGACACACGGCTTGATTTGAAGCTTGCAGAAGAGACCAAGAAGACCGTGATGGACAATCTAAAAATCATTAACCTGATGAACAAGTCAAAAATGGATTTTCTGGAATTGTTTCATATTCTCTTTGAAACTCGTGAACAAGAATTTGTAATGAAAGTCATGGCTTTTATTACGGAAGCTTCAATTCATATTGGCAGCACCAGGGCATTGATGGTGGCTTCGTACTGCCTAGCACAGTCCCGAAGTTTACGGTACCTTAACCTCTATATAGAAAATGTCTTTTCAGATGACTCGAAATTCTTCTCAATGAACCGGAAGCTGGGCCTCTGGGAGAAGCTTTGCTCAGTGCTCATTACCAACAAGGACCTGCAGGTGTTGGAGTTGAATAAGTGCAGCCTCAGCGACGCCTCCCTGGACGTTCTTTGCAAAGTCATGGCACAGTCATTTTGTAAAGTGAAGACTGTTGTGTAAGTCTGATTACCAATGCCTTCTCTAATCCCTTAGACCAAGAAGCCCCTCCTCTCTCGTCCAGATTGTGGGGTAAAAGCCACAGAAGGTGAGCGGAAACCCAGAACTACAGCATTCTTGTTATTAGCTGCTGGGGAGTCGTCCTAGACTCCTGGAGCCCCGTGTGAACAGGAAAACAAATGTGATGGGGCCAGGGTAAAGCGCAGAAAGAGACATGATGATCTAGAAGGTATTCGTTGACTGAATTCTTGGAGGTAGATCAGCAGACTGTTTGCTCTCGTCCACATTGGTCTGTTACCCGTTCAGCATCATAGCGGCAGGCCAAGCTCCCCTTGGCGTGGAAAGTGGCTATGATGGCATTGCATTGGCTGGGAATCAGACCTGTGTCTCCAGCATGCAAGATGAGAATTCTAACCCTGGACCAACAATCCCACACATGAAGTCCACTGACCATGAACATTTGTTTGGAGAGCTGAATG